CTGTTTCGGTCACACATACGTGACATTTTGCTGGTCTCTCTGTCCTTTTAGGAGTTTCTTGTGATGTCTAAGCTGTCTGCACACTGGTCTGCTGCAGGATTCTTTTGCAGAGATTTTTTAGGAATATATTAATACTCCATTCTCTGTTGTATGGAACATTTTGGTTCTCATTTTTAGGAAAACTTCTTCATGATATTGTGCACTTATATATTTTGTAGGAAACTATACGTGGTATGTTTAGGATCGAGTAAAACGCAACCATTGCCCAACTCTTTGTAGTTCGAATGATGTCATAGTTACTTCATGAGTCCTCAACAACCATCTTCAGAACCTGTATTCTAACAAGATTGAAAACAGAAGAAATGCACAGATTTCTGGATACATAAGAATTACCAAAGCTAGCCCTAGAAATTTTAAAAATTCTGAATAAATTAATTACCATCAATGAAACTGAAGATGTAATTTAAAACTTACTAATAAAGGAAATCCCACATTCTCACTCATTCATGGCTCAATTCTACAGGAAATGTAGAGAAGGCCTAATGCCAATCCTTCTCAAATACTTTGTGGACATTGAAGGAAGCAGTACTCCCAAACTGATTCCTGGAAGCAAGAATTAGCTGATACCAAACCACAGAACGAATCACCCAGAAAAGAGAAGTACAGGCCTATCTGCCTTATGAAGACTGATCACAAATATCTTCAATAAGATACTGTCAAACAGAATGCCACAAATCACCAAGATTGTACACCGTGACTAAGCAGGATCTATCCTGGGGTTGTAGGGATGCTTCAACATATGCCAAAGAATGGAAGAAATAGACTGTTTGTTGTGGTGCCTCCCTGGAATCCCAGCACTTGGGAAGTGGAGGCAGAGGGTTGCAGAGAGTTTCAGGCCAGCCTGGCGTACACAGTGAGTTCAAGGGCAGCCTGAACTGCACAGTGAGACCCTGTCTCAAAAACTAAAATAATCGTTCAAAAAATTATTAATTATAACATACATTTATTAGCAGAGCCAA